AACGAGGTTCAGCCTGGTAGTATATAAATATCATATGACATCGGTTATTGTATTATGAACATACGTTTTAATAAGCAATAGATATATTTAAATGCATCACATGCCAATGGACAATAAATGCAGCTCAAGTTCAAGTATAATGAAAAACAAGACTAGTAATCATTACAAAAAGCAATTAGTATGCTAGTACTAAACAACAATTCAAATTTCTTCAATTGTTTAGGTATGGGTAACCATTAGTATTTATATATGTAGGTGCAATCGTCTTAAGTTTCCTAATGTCTAATGTCGACTTACAAAATTGCACTAATTATTTATTGACGGATGTTCGTAGTCGTTTGATTGATTAATGAAGTTTTCATAGAATTTCGACGGAAATTGAACCAATTAGAAACATAAAATAAAACGTAATTAACCTTTAATATGCACTCAAATGTTACATTACATACATACATGCATATACATTATCATGAATATAGACACTTATATACTCATCAATATATTGTATGTACTTGCGCATATCCCTAAATACAATAAGTATATATGTACATATTTTATTTTTTTCTGTCACTCGAGTACCTTCCCACACCAACACATATCGGCTCTTACGTAGTCGCGTAAATAACACGCCATTTTGTAAAATTCAATTAGGCGATAAGAATAAGCGGAATTTTGAGTGTCACTTAATTTAGTAAAAAAAAACAGACAATTGAACAAAGAACCTGCTCTTGTCATTTAAGTGTCAATTTTGTTACAGTAAATACACACCCGTACATATGTATATGTCTATACATACATATCTGCTTTAATACTTACATATGTATGTACACATAAGCATATGTACGCTGCACCGTAAAACATTAAACTAGTCAGAAAAGTTTTAAGTTTCGAACCATTAGTTCATGGTTGAAATCGAACTAGTCATAATGAAACTGGTTTATAACTGGTACTTTTGTACATACATATACATTTAGTCACCTGTGATTGTTTTTACAGTTAAGGCCCGATATGTTCCATGCTTTCAGTTCGTTAAGAATTAATTCATTGAATCAAAATTATTAATGATTATTTGAAATTAATAATTAAATTTAAAAAAAATTTAATAAAATGTTAAAAATTTTACATAAGGGGATGAGGAATTTTTTTGTACTTACAATTTTTTGTCAAATTCAAGAACTAAGAAAATTTATTGTTACCATAGATAAATACATGTAATGATCGTTATTAGTCAATATTAGTCTAAAAGGCACCCTCCAAAATCAAAGTCGCTTTTTGTGAAAAATCATCAGAGTGACAATATCGAAGTTATTAGCAAAAACCATATACATATGTTCTCTTCGATCATTCCTGAAAAATATATCTTAGAAATTGAAAAATTGTCTCTGTAGCGGTTGTAGTTAAGTTAAATTTGAGATAAATGTACATATTAACTATTGCCGACCTATTTTTTATTCGATAAACTGAAGTAAATATATCTAAAATTTATCTACTTTATAATTATTTGAATATGGGTCATTTCATCCAAAATTACATTCAAAATTCTTTTTCGTGCGAAACATTTTTTTGTTTGTGTTCTTTGAGGCAAAATATTGGACATGTATTTTTTTGTTTAAATTCTATATGTAAAATTTTGGAGTTATGAATTTTCAAAATTTCAACGCTCGAGAAAAGTGTCTTTCAACAGGAGCGTGTACGACCTAACGCCTATGATGTTTTCTCAGCTTTCTAATGAGATATACGATGAAATTATTCGACTTTGTTTTATAAACAAAAGGTACATTTTTATAAACAAATATATATATATTTTTTTGAATTTGGAACAATTTTTATTTAGTTTTTTTTTTTTTAGGAAAAATGTTCATTAGTATTTTTAGTTCCAATGTATAAACTTCAGAATGGGCCGTTAAAAACTCCAAAATTCATAAATTAGTTAATGAAAAGTAAGAAAGAAATTTTGAATATACTTGTAATATCTCTAATGTATATAGATCTAGAGATTTAATTTATTTACATTACAAATAATTAAATTATTTAAATAACAAAAACTTATAAACCACTTCTACCTGCCTCTAATATCGGCGGAAATTATTAAATAAATATTACTATCGTCTTTCTGAAAGCAATTACGTAAAAGAATACCGATTGATTACAAAGTATTTCGCAAGATATTTCCAACAAAAAAATTCTTGTATCAGCAAAGAAAATATTAAACTCGGACGTGTGTCGGAAAAAAGTAGGATTGCGGTGCTCCTCATATATCATATCCATACGAAATCAAATAGTCAATGGTCATTCGTTTTCTCCAAGTATTGCCGAGAGCGTTTTTTGATTTTATTTTTTTTTTTTTTAATTTTTTCCCAATTATGTACAGAAGTACATGCAAAATTTTTAAAAGATCGGTGCAGTAGTTTTGAAGTTAGAAAATAAGAAAACATGTGTTGTAGAGAAAACCCTTTAAGCTTCTGAACATTATACAACAAAAAATAAACAATGTTAACTCAGGCTGCACCGCATAATACCCTGCACAGGTGCATTTCTTATAGCTTGCGAGGTTATAAAAAGATCTCGATCTTGATTTTGATCGGTTAGTTTGTACGACAGCTATATATACGATTCCGATAACAAAAAAAAGCTTCTTGGGGGGAAAAAAACAAAATTGGATCGATATATCAAAACTGGGCATCTAGCTCGTGTACTCATCAAAACACATAATATTGGCTTTTCTGAGATATGTCCTAATATACAATTCCGTTTCGGGAAAATACGACAAAACAAAGGTTTCACAGAAGACTTAAACACTTTTGCGACGGCAAATGCGATGGAACCCTATGCTGAATATATTTTTGATTACTGCTGTACGCCGAATTCTAGAAGATTATTGTTATGGTAGTTAAAGGTCAAATGCCACTACAATCTTCTCGAGCACAATAAAATATAACTAACATTAAAGTGCCATGAATATGAATTTAATTTGTTCAGTTAACAGCAAACTATTTTCATTCACATTTATTAAAAAAAATTTAAGTGTTTTTCTATGACTTTGCTTACTTAGATGTACCGTTCCGCACGAGCCCCCACAGCGACTTAGCACCCTGCTCAATGCACGTAGTAATAACGGCAACTCCAAATAAGACTTGAGTAATACTCGAGACGAACATCTCGGCGAAATCATTTTGATGAAATAGGAATATAATAACAACAAAGTGCATGTAATATAAACAAATAAACATATATACAATATATTTATCTGTGCATACATATATATACTACATAAAGACCTACAACAAAATTGGACCACTTAAAAGGAACTATTGCTGAGCTCTGAATTTTGTTTGTGTAGTTGTATTATACTTTTCTTCCTTTGTTGACTGCGATTGTTGCTGTGGTTGTTGTAGCAGTCAACAACGAGTGTTGTGATAAAATCGCACATAAGGCGGCAATAAAAATACGAAATGACTTAAAAAATATGAACTCCAACAAGAGCTGCGATGAATCTTAATAAATGCGCTGCCGCAAGAAGACCTTCAAATATGCCGCAACGCCGTGGCACGAACGGAGGAGTCGCTCGGAAGAGCGATGCGACGGCGGCGGCGATGAATGAAAGCAAACGAAAGCGCAGAACAAGTCAAGTTGAGCGCAAAGCGGATGGAATATGTCAAAAAATAACAGTTATTTATTTGTACACAATACAAATGTGGCAAGGAAGTGCGTACTACTTATATATTATATGTATGTATAAAGACTCAGCGGCAACGCAGCGTTGAGTAAGGATTGAAGGGTTATATGAAAAACGTAAGAAAAGTAAGAAAATATGCCCCTTGTTGGGGGAAACTGAAGAAACATAACGGCAATTCAAATGCCAGAAGACTCTGAAAATAATGGAAAACAAAATGCCCTTGACACCGCTAGTCAGTGTATTAACTGAATGTAAGCGCGAGTGGGAAAGGTGAAGCACAAGTTTACATTTATTTTTTCCTTCTCTCGAGCTGCTTGTCTTGTCAAATGATGGCCAAAGCACATTGCAAAAATATTTCAAGTGAGAGTGAGAGAGTGCATGCTATATGGCAACAACCGAAAGAAACCAGAGAAAAAATTTAGCTAAGGAAAAAATATTAGCTGATTTTAAAATTTTAAGAAATTATTTAAACAACATTTGCATGCCAGAATAATGAATGAGCAATAGATAGGAGAGATAGGAAATTCGCTTGCGTTGCGAAACAGGATATTGGAATTGTTAAAACTGGAAATTGAGTGGAAATCAGTTATGCTTTTGCCTGACGCACAATGAACGCTACAACAGCACCAAAAACGCGCCGGGGTAATTATGCTGCGACAAGAGCAACGGCGGCGCAACAACAATACAACAAGAATAAAAAAGTATAATACTAACAACTGGTATAACTATGCGCGCTCTCTAAGCAAAGGGGGTAAGTGTTTACACAGCATGGCGTGTTATAAATAAAAACAGGCCAGACAAGTCAATGGCAAATAGGACCTGAGCGCATTGCTGACACACACACACACATATATACTCACGTTTGAAATATCTTAAGCGAACACGTGAGTGTGAGCAGGAGCAGCATAAAGAGAGCCATAGCGCTATATAGCGTATGCTTTTGCACCGCGTTTGCGTCGTTTTCTGCCAAACAAGGCCGCAGTCAATATGTCGTCTGCGGTGGCGGGTGTGTCCACTGATGCCGAAAGGTACTTTGAGTGCGTGCGCGTTGCGGCGGGCAGAGCGAGCGCGTATGCTGTTGCAGGCCAAATCGAACTGTTGTTGCGCGCTTACACGCATGACTAGCGTTAGCTTCCTATCAGCACTTACACACACGCGCACACAGTTTAAGTGAGCGCTATGTATTGCATATAGCTAAGGCGCTCGCACCACTGCAATTCAGGTTGGTCGACGCGATCGATAGCGCTGCTCGCTACGCATTTACATATATAAATATGTGTGCATGCGTCTGTGTGCGTGCGCTGATAAGATATTTGTTGTGCTTTTGCCGAGTCGCACGCTCGCTTGTTGGACTAACGCGCTGGGAAACGGAATTTCACAAATCAGTTCGTTGTTTTCCGCTGTGCCAGTGTAATCGTACAGTATACATGTCGCGCTGAACGCACCGCAAAGCAGAGTGTATTTGAAAATTTTCGCTTGCCGCGTACAAACGGCGCGTTGAAGCAGTGAATTTTCCAATAATTGTGTGCGAGCTGAAAAGTGTGTGTGTTCACAAACAAAAAGTTATTGCCATTCAGCCACAACAACAACAAAATCAAGAACAATAACAGTGTGGAAAATAATAACGGGTGGTGATAGCAGCAAAACGCATCAACAGCAGCCACACGGCCAACGTCCGCCCCATTCTACAGCAACAGCAACAGCACCAGTAGATAGTGGTGCTCGTAGCAGCAGCAGCAGCAGCAGCTTGGAACAGCGCGTTTTCGTACTCTCTCACGCCATACGCCAAGCGGTGTGGTATTTTTGTAACTGATATTTCTATATATCTTTGTTATTCTCTTGCGTGTGTGTGTCCGAGTTTCTTTGGGGTGTTTGTTGTGTGTGCAAGTTCGCTAGCCGAAAAGCGCCCAACATAGCAGCAGCAATACACTCGCGCGCAGCGTGCAGTCCGCATAGTCATCATTTGTTGGCACACAACCTCACACACATACATAAATACATACACTCGTACTCGTAGTTGCGGTGTACATATCCACTACTCATCCAGTCGATACATTTGCGTTTCAAATTTGATTTCAATTCAGATACGTCTCGTTACCAAAGCAGACGCGTTTCCGTTTTCCGCTACCACTGTGATTGCCGCCATACAAGCCATTGCTAAATTTTTTTCAGCCAAACGTGCGCTCCACCACAAGTCAAATTCTTCAAAGTGTTGTACAACAACTACTACTCATATAGGTAGTAGCATCAGTGTCGGTGTGACAGTGTGGTGTATTAAGAATTGTGAATTAAAAGCATCTACAGCTTAGCCTAATTACGCGAACGGCTTAAATTATTAGAAGACTAAGCCAGTGCGAATCCCCGAACAAAGCTAACTAAACTAAAGTGTGTGCAGCTGAACTGCATGTATATAAGCATATGTGTGTGAGTGTTTTTTTATTAAGCGTAAAAAACTAAAGCTCTTTAACGCGCTTAAGCTCTGCGTAAGCACTTAGCTACATAATTTGTTACTTTGTGGATTCGTAACCGAGAAATTTTTTTGTAATATTTGCGTGAAATATAAAAAAAAAACATAAAATAAATGTACTAATATTTACAATAATAAGCAGCAACTGCAAAAATTGAATTGTGTCATAACGTAAAAAGTATTTTAATAAAAAAATACAAAATAGTGACAACAACATTAAAGTTTACAACAACATTAAATTTAAAAAAAATTACGAAAAGTAAATTGACTTTTTACATTGAAACTTATAAAAAAAAATATTTTCGTGAAAAATTGTAAAAATTTAGCAGCAAAAAACTCCTCCCTAAAAACACCACAATAGTATCTCTAAAAAAATATTTTTTTTAATCTAAAAATACAACAACACGCGTTTCGCTTTTGAAACTCTGCTATTCTAACAAACATGCACATACATTTCCATTTACAACTTCGATTTGTCGCCGCGTGATTTATGCGTCTTCAAGCGCTCCACACCCGTCGGCCAATCACCAATGTACAGTGGCAGTAAATTAGTGCTTCGAAACACACAAATCAACTACTCCAACTATAAAAAAGCAAAAACATAAATAAAACTATTCATCTATATATCTGATCAAGTAGTAAAGTCTGAAAACTTGTCAGCTAGTTTGAGTCATTATAAGCAGATTAAACGCTGATATCTGCCGCCTTGTGCTCAAAGGTAAGATATGTGTGGATTTCTTTTTTTTTTTAATTTTTCATCACACAATTTGATTTGTTGCGCTCGGTCAGGTAGGAAACGTGACTTTTAGCAATGCGATGTGGTGACATTTTCCCCTCAAAACCATTTATCAAATTGGAGATTAGCTAGCAGCTTATTTTTTTGTTGGATCTACTCAAAAATACTTCTTGAAATCTGGTAACACATATATTTACAGCTGTCATACTAAATAAAATATGTTCGTAAAAGCATTAGGTTAGTTCGCGATCTTGATCGGAAGTCTCAACGATTTGAAATTAAAAATCGTGAGAAAAATTTAATAAAAAGCCGTCGCCAAACATGATTTCTCTGAGTGCATTTTACATATTGGAAATTTTGAATAAATGCAATAGGCTCTGCTGAGCAGGTTTCGCAATTATTGTACTTTTTTAATTTGTTTTAGGAAATTAATAATAATTTTAAACTTTTTACTTTTTCGTAGTGAATTTAATATAATTTTTGATATACCATATTCAAAAAAAAAATTTGTGCAATACTTGAACTGCCTTGAGACCATTTTTGATATTGAAGAGCCAGATGGCTCAGCTCAAAATACACGCAAGCATAGTCAAACATTTAATAAATTTAATTTAAATTTGGAATATTTTCACTAAAGACCGATTTTTTTTACACAACAGCTTGCTATAGTTACATCTTTAATACTCCGAGTATTCCAGTGGTTGCGGGTAATAAGACCAAAAAACTCAAACTCTAAAATTATCTTCGAACTCAAATGTCAGTGAAACCGCCTTTAAGTGTGCTTAAATTTCAAGTAATTCACATACGCGATAATACTTCAAAACTTGCATAATTATTCAATCCACATTTTAGTTAATGAAGTATGTGATTATGTACTTGATATGCCCCTTTGTACATGCCGCAGGCCTCTCATAATGTTAACATATCTGTGGATTAATGAGAAGTAGTCTGCAATAAACTCCAACAATGATAAAAAAATATTAATTGACGTCGTTTATATTTTCAAAGCAATGTTCCCGATTCTCAATTATTTTCCTGTGTTTTTAATTATTTATTAACTTAACGGAATTTATCAGCTATTTAAAATTATGTTATACTCTTCTCTGCTTTCTTAGTGCAAAAAAAATATTTTTTAATGATTGTCGGTGTTATGCCTTAAAAATTTTGAATTTATTACTCATCAAAAAACAAATTTCAAGTTATGAGCATTTTTTAAAATATCTTTTCTTTTAATTATGCTATCTTAATGTGTGGACTCTGACCAAGAAACTATTTGATTTAAGCAGCTTTCCTTTTGAATGCTGAAACTTAACATTTCAACAAAAAATAAAGTATTTTGAACGCTTTTTTTTAAAGCTGGTTATATAAACAAAGGTTTTTGCTTGTTTATTAAAATAATTTCATTGACCACTTGAGATAATAAAAATATTAAGTCGAGCTAAGCTGTTTTTTCAAATTTTCGAATACATATATTATTATAATTTTTTTGTAATTTTTTATTTAATATGCTGTTTGTGTGTAATCATTCATATATAAAATATATATTTTTGAAACCATAAAAAGAAAATTACTCACATCATAAACAATATTTATATATTTTAGCGTATTAAGTAGTGCAAATTTTGAAAAGAATAAAGCTAATAGCTGATCTTCTTTATTGATGAAAAAAATATATAAAAATAGAAACCAAAGTGAATACGTAGGTTGCCTTTTATATTTCGGGATTAGCCAACTCTAGTGTAGCAATCTCCCAACTCACTACTTTTTAATAAATTGAGACATTTTTGATATTATATAGCGTGATTTATTTCGAGGTTCCATACTTTTAAAAAAAAAAAAAACACAGAAAATTCAAATCTAATTGGGAATATTTATTAGCATTCGAAAGAACATTCTTTGTCATTTATTTTTTGAAGATTATTCTAAATGTTGGCTGCGGCTACATCTCAGATGGTTCATCTGTTGATTCCAATTTTCGATGACCCGTTCGAGCATTTCGACTGGTAACTGGCGAATGACATGCGTCATGTTTTGCTCCAAGGCCTGAATCATCGCGGTGTTGTCCGCTTATACTTTAGACTTTACATATCCCCACAGGAAAAAGTCTAATGGTGTGATATCACACCATCTTGGTGGGCAATCGTTCGGTCCAAAATGTGAAATTATCTGCTCAACAAAGTGTTCTCTCAAAATCCATTGTTAGATGCGATGTGAGGGAAGTGGCGCCATCTTGGTGAAACCAAATGTCGCCGAGATCACGAGCTTCAATTTTAGGCATCAAATAGTTGGTTATCAAGGCACGATGATTGACGGTTACGTTCTCACCGGCATCATTTTTAAAGAAATATGGACCGATGATTTCACACCAAACCGTTATTTTTTCTGGATGAAATGTTAGCCCTTGAATATCTTTAGGTTGCTCTTCGCTCCAAATCCGGCAATTTTGCTTGTTTAGAAATGGGCCTCATCGCTGAACAAAATTTGGCTCGACAACGTCGGATCTGCGTAGAACTTTTCAAGAGCGCATAGAGCGAAGAAATGTAGCTTGGGAAGGTCAACCCGCTCCAGTTCTTGCACAAGCTGTATTTTTTACGCTTTCAACTTAAGATCTCGACTTAACATGCGCCAAGTCGTTTCATACGTCAGTCCGAGTTGATCCACGATTGGCGCCGAAACGACTCTCCACGGTCTTCGTATACACTCTCAGCTACAGCCGCTATATTTCTTTACTGCGTGATGGGCGTGGTCTATTCGGTCGAACATTATACAATAATGAATGCTGAATAGGCCGATTATATTGACCATAAGTTGAGCAAAGCGCGCGAAACACATTTTTTACAGAACGTGAATTTTCATAATAAAGTTGAACGATTTGTAAATGTTGTTCAGGGAAAGTCTTTCCATGATGAAATGCCAAATTGAACAAAAATAGCATGACAAATTGACACGACTCATGCCAAAAAAGGCTATTGAAAAAAAGTACCTCTACTTGGATCACCCGTTATATACTCAGAACAGGTGGACATACGAGCGCTATTTGTGTTGTTTACAGTAACTTAAAATATTCATTTCGGTCTTAAAATCGAATTAGATCGCGACTATTTTTTACAACTTTCGACGTGGATCAACTCAGCAACAGTGCATCGTTGAACTGAATTAAATTTTTGGCGATGAAGCTCTATTAAAGATCATTGTTTATCGATGGTATGGTGATATTGCAAGATCGTCATGTGATCTATGGTGAGGCTGAGACAACTATAAGCATTATTGGGACCCCCACACATTCAATATTGCATGATCTGATTAACTGTAAAAAAAATTTGTTCACGAACCCACATAACTTGTCAATCACTCAAAAAAAGATCTCGTGTCAATTGGTCGACAGAAATGTAAAAAAAAATATGATAGCGGTGCTTTGAAACACGTCTATGGCGTGTTGTGGATTTAAGGGTATGAACCCGAAAGTGAATTGCAGCAGAGTGTATTGTTGTTTCCAAATGAGCTGAATCCAACAAAAGTGTTTTTTTGAAAAAACTGGATATATCACAACCATATTATTAGAACAACTCAGAACAATAAATTTTGAGTACACAACCATATGTTTGCTGGTTGTTTTTCAAGATATCAAGAAAACCTCTCTTTTCACCACGACAATGCGAGCTCTCACACATCAACTGAAACAACTGCATTATTGAGCACTCAAATATCAATTTGATAAGTCATCTACCATATAATCATACAAGATAAACTAAGAGGACAACGTTTTTCGACACCTGAAGAGGCGGTTGTTGCGTTCAGAACGCATGTTTCGGAGATACCTCAGATCAGAGTGGCAAAAGTGCTTCGACAATTGGTTCAAACGCATGCAGAAGTGTATAGATCTTAATAGAGAATATTTTGAAAAACAATAAAATGATTTTCGACCATCAACAGATATTGTTGCTTTCAAATCCCGAAGTATGAAAGACAACCCTCGTAGTAGCAGTGGTGTGGCAATAAAAAGTAATAATTAATGAGGGTACACATTGAGCACAGGTGAAACCGCAAATAAAAATCAACCATCTGCAAAAACATATTTGATCCAAAAAAATTTTTAGTGCATTCTAGCGCTTTTTATTAACAAACTTTTTCATAGAGATCTGCAGAAATAATTCTTTGTACGAGTATATTGTTATTTTTTTTTTCAAAATAATATGTTAAGTTTTTATAAATTTCTGAGGCTCGAAAAATTTATGCTTTTCTTGTATATAGTTCTAACAAGACATTAGCATTTGGAATGCAAAATTTTATGTACATAAAATGTATAATTTTATTTTTTTTTGGAATAGAAATGCGCATGTAACAATTTTTATAATTTTCTCTTTTATACAAGCAAACTTGGACACCTATGTACGTAGGTATATATAAGAGCCGGCCAACCAAAAACATTAAAAAAACTTTAAATTTTATTTCCTTAAATACCATGAAAGTATTGTCCAAGATGACGAAAAGTATTTGTGTAAAGTTTGAGTTCTTAATATTACTATTTACATAGTTGGAAATTTAAAAATATTAGATATTGTAATATGTTATATAATTTATGTCTTTTATTACGGTTTTTATATAATTTCTAATTTTTATAAAATAATATATTTTTTTAGCTAATCCTAGTATACATATACATAGGTATACTGACATGTATTAGTTTGTAACCATTTAGTTAATGTATATACATATATATATATATTTTTTTGTTTTTGAAAACTATTTAGTTTTGTTATCATTTGGTCAAATAAATTTCTATATATATTTTTTCAAAACTTTTTCTAAACATTAAAAGCATAAAATGTGAAATCCCAAGCTACAAACTTGACATTGCACCAATAAATTAATTCCTTAATATGAATTTAGATGTTGCCACATTTGAAATTAACAAATGAGCGCCGCTACAAATACAAAAATATGTATGTATGTAAAAATATTAATTTTTGAAATAAATTTTA